TGGAGGGACTATGTCTCTCGGCTGGCCTGGGAATGCCTCGGGATTCCCCCAGAGGAGCTGGAGGAAGTGGCTGGGGAGAGGGAAGTCTGGGTTTCCCTGCTGAGGCTACTGCCCCCGCGACCCAACCTCGGATAAGCGGAAGTTAATGGATGGATGGATGGATGGAGGATGCTGAGCTACATCTCCAGGTGTGTTGAGTTTAAATCTAGGGAGGTAACGCTAAGATTGTATAATTCCTTTGTCAAACCTCACCTTAAAATACTGCGTCCAGGTTTGGTCACCTTACCACAAAAAGGACATTGCTGCTTTAGACGCGGCCCGACACAGGGCTACAAGAATGATTCCTGGCCTTAGGGGGATGTCTTACGAGCAAAGGTTGGCAGAAAGGTAGGAGACTAAGGGGTGAAATGATTCAGGTATATAAGGTTCTAACAAGTCTAGATGTTGTTCATTGAAATTGCTACTTCAAAATAAGTTCTAATTCAAGAACCTATAGCCACAGTCGGAAATTAGTGGGGGAACACTTTAGTGTGGATCTGAGAAAACTTATGGAATAGTCTGCAAGCTAAAACCCTAGAGTCCTTCAAATCTGAGCTCGACAAGATCCTGCAAACTTTAAATTATTAGTTTAATTCCCTCCAAGTGAGCTTGTTTGCAAATCTATTATTTTTTTATGTTCTTATGTACTTGAAACCAAAAACATCCTTTGCCCACCATTCCTAGAACCATAACCAGAGCCTTTCTGTTTGTTGGTTTGAATGAGGTCCCCATACAGTCATAAGAACACCGTCCTGGTTTTAAACCCAGGCAAGCAGGCCTTTGCACGAAAATGACATTAAATAGACCTCTAATCAGCCCAAGAAGCTTTGTCTGCTTAACAGCCAGGCTCTGATCACTGGGGGGGGGGGAAACGTAGACCAATCAGCAAACTCATTCTCCTCTGCTGGCTCCTGGCCCTTAATGATTTGACTATGTTGGTTTATGCCACATGTCACACATCACATCACATTCGCTAACAGGCATCTGATGCCAGAATATAAACAAGGGCCAGTTTCCAAGGCTATGTCAGCAAATAAATGGGCTGTGTCAAAACTCTCGGGATTTGTCAACCCAGTGGTACTGGTAACAGGCTCAGTCCTAAGCCTGCTTCTTGCTGGCATACTGGAAATGTATACTCCCAAAACCCCATCAGAATAGTGTTAATATCCATTTCAGGGCCTGCAAGCATGGATCCAGTGCTCCTGACCAGGCCAGAAGGCCTTTCTCCTCAGCAAATCACTTTCCCACTCTTATCATGGAGCACAGAGCAGCCTCAGTAGGAACAGAAGCAGGCCTGTTTATTGCGCGTAAAGCCCAGAGCCACGCCCAGGCTCACAGCACAGTGTTTCTCCTTAAACATGGAATCATACCTCTTTGAGCTTCTTGGCCCAGGGTTTCTGGGCTTTGCGGAAGCCATCCTCTGCCTCTTTTGTCTCCTTGAAGCCACCAATCATCTGCTTATGATAGGCCTCTTTCTGCCAGTTTTTGATCTTCTCAAAGTCCTCGCTCATCAGCGACGTCTTCACCTCCATGTGCAGATCGCTCACCTTCTCCGCTTCGGTCATCACGGCAGTCCAGGCTCGCTCCAGTGTTCCATACTGGGGACCTGAGGGAATCAGGGTCAGATCCAGTTTAGGAAACCAATCACAGTGGTCAGAAAGCAGAGCCACGACGCTCAGGTGATTCAGGGAGCATCATGGGGGGTTACCTTTCTCGATGAGCTGCCGCCATCGCTTGCCCCACTCGGTGAGCTGCATGGCATACGCCTTCTCGATGCGTGCACGCTCATGGATGCAGTTCATCAGCTCATTGCACAAGCGTTGCCCATCGTCCACGCGCTTCACCGTGCGTTTGTAATTCCCCACCTGAAGGGAGGATGGGGGAGGGGAATGAGAATGTGCAGCAGTGATCTCAGGGGGAAGAGGGCCGTGGGGAGGAAAAGCAAGGATGGGAAGAGGGGGAAGAGGGCCGTGGGGAGGAAAAGCAAGGATGGGGAAGAGGGGGAAGAGGGCTGCGGGGAGGAAAAGCAAGGATGGGGAAGAGGGGGAAGAGGGCTGCGGGGAGGAAAAGCAAGGATNGCGGGGAGGAAAAGCAAGGATAGGGAAGAGGGGGAAGAGGGCCGCGGGGAGGAAAAGCAAGGAGGGGAAGAGGGGGAAGAGGGCCACAGGGAGGAAAAGCAAGGATGGGGAAGAGGGCCGCGGGGAGGAAAAGCAAGGAGGGGAAGAGGGCCGCGGGGAGGAAAAGCAAGGAGGGGAAGCAGGACACAGGGAAAGAAGGTCGTGGGGTAGAAAATGTGGAAAATGCTACAGGAAGCAGGGCCGAGGTGAGGACAACCAGAGGGAGCAGGGCCTAGCAGTTTGATAAAACGAGTGAGCATCGAGTTTCTCTTCTGTGACTAAATCAACCTGCCTGGAATTAGCTTGTCGTTCTCCCGGTTTCTTAAATGATATCATTGTTAAGGAAGCCGGCTACACAGCTGGATAAGTGTGCGTGACAGCAGGTGCACATCCCTTGGGAGTGCACAAAGTATCAACTTGTCACCAGATTAAAATCTCACTAATATTTTTACAGTTAGAGTTTGTACCAGTCCTGAGCCTTGAGTAATTAATCTGAAGATGTAAGGCACAGTGACATCAGTTTAGAGGATGATGTTATGCCTGGGGCGCGGTCAGATAAGTGGTTAGGGAGGGAGGGAGGATGGATAGATGTAACTGCAAACGTCATGCAAGTACAAAAATGGGACTTTATTTAGAGGAGACTGGAGATTACTGCTGCTTGTGCATGTGTGAGGGAGGGACAGGACACTGGTGTCCAAACCTGAGCATATGCTGTTTGCAATCTTATAGGGGCATGCGCTGGAGCGGGTGATTGTGTGCATTTTGGAAATGTATGTGTTTTACTCTTGGCCGCAGTGAGCAGCTGTGATCTCCATGCATGTGTGTTTGCATGAGAGCCTCACCTCCCAGAAGCTGTCACTGGAGACGTCGATCATGGAGTCATCGTAGGAGCCGGACATGGCTGGGGTTATGGGGTCTCAGCTACTGGAATGGGACAAACCAGTGTGTCAGCTTTCCTCCAGGTTATACCATAGCCATCAGGAATATGGACCATATATTCCTATCATTGTGGGAATCACTCCATATATTTCTATGGGCATTACCATAATCCTAACAACAACCTTCAGCCATAACCTTAACCATAAGGAACCAAACATTTGGCTCATTAAGTTTTCTGGTCAGTTAAAGATTTTTATAAATATGAGGTTTATATTGTAGGCGCCTGAAAAATGTTCCCACAGGTTCCCACAATGTGGCACACTCCCCCCTCATAGACACACACACACACACACACACACACACACACACACACACACACACACACACACACACACAGTGCATTCAAAATAGCCAGCCTGACAACGGCACAGCTGTTGTCATGTAAACGGCCAGTGGCCAGGGCATAACAGGACACCGCTCCTCCACCATGGGTATTTTTACCCCCCACATCGCACCCAGGGCAGGGTAAAGCCTGCAGGGCAGTGAAGCATCTTCAGATGTCACCTCATTTCTAATGATAGGCTGCGTTTGTGCCCTGGGCTACCATCACATGCAAACTCAGAATCAGGTGTCCGGACTCAGCGATGAAGCAGCGGGCCACACCTCGACCTCACGCACTGATTCAGAAACAGTCAGCGCCTGCATGACCGCTGCTAAAGGGATCTGCTAACATCACCCGGCACTCATTCACACCCTGCGGGCTGCTTTCCTCCAGCTTGAACCCTAGAGGAAAATGAAGTCCTAAGGTTGCCATCCATTTACCTCGGAGGTCAGAAGTCGGAGCTAGAAATTATGTCACACCTGAATTAATCACGTTCCAGCAAAACAAGTTGGAAAGCCATTTAGCAAAACCAGTTCTAGCCAGGTTCATTGTTAGCTATTGTTAGCATTACCAATTGATATCAATTCATTGTGCAGTTTTTCCCCCACATAGAACACCATAGCGACACAGCTACAAATAACAATTAGAGAGTAATGTCTGTACAACCAATATAATGAGACACAAATAAAACATAAGCGCTAATATACAGTATATAACCACAGCTTTAATGTCTGCTGACAACAGGCGAGCCACCTTGAATTCTGAGGTTGGGTTGCAGAGGTTCCTCCGATTTTCATTCAGACTTTGAGGGTCACTCCAACTAGGAATGCAAAACTTCCTACTTCTGAGTTGAAATGGAGAGCAGCATAAGCTTTTCCTCCATAAGAAAAGATGCGACCCTAACACATACCCTTTAATCAGCTGAGATGGAGGGCAAGCGGGATGAAGGAGCCGGAGTGCCCTGCTGCCGGGCCTGATGGGTGTGGCTCAGCAGGCTAGGATGCTCTGCCTGTAAACTGAAGGTCATGAGTTCAAATCCAAGGGTCAGCAGAGCGGTTTCACCATTGGGCCCTTGTGTGTGTCACTAAGTATGGCTCTGCTGAATAACTAAATAAGGAACATGTAATGTCAAGACAGAGATGAAACTCATGCAGCTGCAGAATCATTGGTGAAGCAGCACAGGGCTGCAGCGGGGCCCCTCGGAGGGTGCGGAGACGGGGCCCCTCGGAGGGTGCGGAGACGGGGCCCCTCGCAGGACATGACAGCAGCGGTCCCACTTTACCTGTTGGCATAGTTCGGTGGCATTTAAAACCCCCCAAGCTTATTTTGTTAGTATTCAATAACTACAGAATGCAGCATTTTTCTTTTTATTTAAACAAATCCTAACCAAGCCTCTATATTTATACTAAATTGTTCTGATAAAAATTAAGTGGTTTAACAACCAAGTGTCTTGCTCTTTGGCACATTTAAAGTAAGACAAAAGTTAATCTGAGAAAAGCTGCCTGTAAAGGAGCCTCCCAATGCCGCAGCCCCAACCCCCCCTCCACAGGCCCCTGAGCCACATCATAAAAAGGGGGGAGGGGGTCTCCTTGTTTTGACTGATGAACTAAGGGTTTGTGCCGCAGTCGATCATTAGCGTGGCGAACGAGTCGCCTTTTTGATCTCGCAGATGAAAAGCAGGGAGTTACAGGCCCTCACTTGCCCAGTGGATATTTCCTTGGTTAATATATGCAGCTGAAATGGAGGAAAGACATGCATGTCTATGGACTGCAGAAGGAACCACCAAACCAGCAATGAGGATAAACAGTGATCATCTCTACACAGCCGCCACCATTCCAGGGCAGCTCTGGGGAGGGGAGGGGGGATCCTCCCCAGTCCCCCGCCGGTTAGTTATAGCCTGTCCTCACAGAGCCCAGTAGCTGTTACGTGTAGCAGCATGTTCTTTCCAAGGGAAGCGATGAACATTCCTGCCATTCTTCCAGGGAAGGACGGGCCCGACAACGGCCTGGCCAAAGCGGCTTACCCCCAGAGGACCATGGGGGACCAGCCCATACTTTCCATACTCGTGATGGCGACTTTAGACCCCAGCAAAAAAATAAAAAATGGTATTGTTTCCAACAATGGCAGGGGGGTGCAGATCCTGGAAAAAGTGTGAGTCCCCCCAGCTGGTCTCAAGCACCGGATGGCTCTGGGGTCCTCAGGCTGACCTCACCAAGATGTTTGCTACACTGAAGTCCATGCCTCACCTCCCAGGAATGCAAGGGAGACACACACACACACACGTCTTCCTCAAATCAAACAGTGGCTTCTAGTGTAAACCGAAGGGCCAACACAAGCCCATCCAATACAAAACAACTAATACCTATACCAGACGGACCAAAGATATTGGGTCAGGCAGTCTAAAGCAGCAAGAGTGAGACCTTGACAAAGATTAAGTTCAACACTCATAACTTAACTGCTTAACTCGTAACAGCAGGGCACGGACGATATTAACTGGAACATCAAGAGGTGTGTGTGGTTGTGTGGAAGAATGGAAGACAATGAAAATGGGGAAAGCGAAAGAATTTCTGCTGTTTTCTACCAGTCATCTATCACAAGTTTGGGAGCATTCCTCCTTTTGCCCGAAGAGGGTCTCAAGCATCCCATAATTCTGCATTCTCTTTTTAGGGTGCTTTTCCACCACACCAGGTACCTTACTTTTGGTACTTCAAGGTGTTGGTTTTGAACTGCCATAAAAACTGGTACCGGTGCTGAATGACATCATAGCATGAGACAGGGTATTTCGTACTGAATTCGAAAAATGGATGCAGTTTATTAGACATTAGATAAAGATGCAATACGGCAGGCATGCACTGAACAGGAGTGGCACTTTAAAAAAATTTTTTTTTTTGATTGGTAATTCGTGCAATAAGTGCAATAATTTTTTTTGTGACATGAAAACCACTATTAGTTTATTCAAAGACCTGCTAGGCATAAGGGAACAAAATGAACAAAATACTTATTTTATACGATTCCCTGATTAATCATAAAAATAAATCGATAGAATACTCAAATATGAAAATTACTGTCAGTTGCAGCCCTAGATTTAACTTAACATCCAACAAACAAGGGGGCGATATGGAGCAGACTAAGTGCTAAGTGACCATCAGCTAGCTGGTTCGAGCACCAGCCTCAGCCTCAACAGAATAGTCCCATCACCAGTGGGTCCTTGAGCAAGGCTTATAACCCACCCCCGGATAAATGGTTTGACCTTGGCAAAAAAGCAAGCCAATTTCAGACAAAGTGTTTTCTTATCCCTTGTTTACTGCAACACGGTGCCGGAGCTGGTGCAAGGCTTCTTCCCCAAACTGGAACTGGTTCTGCGCATGGTTCCACGAAAAAACTGGGTCTGGGCTAGAAAAAACGGCTCCAGCACGGCACTACAGAAAAGCTCTTCACAGAATTTGGAACCAAAACGTCAATAAAAGTGGGACAGGCTATCACATTGAAATATTCCACATACCCAGAATTCAATGCATAATTATTGTAATTTTATCTGATATCGCAGGTGCTGACAGTGAAACAAACTGCCAGTTTATTAACAGAACGTTTCATCATCATTTTCTTCTTCTGTGGAAAATGAAAACTTGATCTGCTGGCCAGATTTAATAAATTATAAACATGTCATGGATCGAGTTAAAAAAATGACACTCAAGTGCTGAACAAATCATGAAGTGGAAAGAAATGTTCAATTTTTTCTTATTGCATGATCCTAAAAGAACAGCGACAAAAAAGCGAGCAAGAATAAACTCACTCACACACACGGACAAATAGCGTTTAAGGGGATAAAAATGGATGCAGGCAATATGGACAAAGCGCAAAGAGTCATACTCTGAAAACTATGAGACAAAGGCTGATATTTTTGGTTCAGCTGCTTACAAAAACAAGATTCAAAACTGGTTGTATAAAAACTTAAGATCAACTTAGATAGAAATCAGAATAAATCCAAAAAATGGAATTCATATGAACCTTTATTTTACTCACTTCCATCTATGTAACATTTCTGTTCCATTCTTTTTTGAAATCGCTGGAAATGTGGGCAAGTTCTCAAAAGGCACCAAGAGAAACCCAGCCCAGCACAAGCTCCATGTTGGTGAAAACGAGGCAAGACACACACCAACCTTTATGTGCTAGTGTGCCAAAACTTACACCGCTAGCAGATTTGGTTCATGAGCAAACTCCAAACATTGGAGAAGAGCAAGGTGTGGGCTGCAGACCAGCGGAGCCGTGGGCTGAACACTGTGGTTGGAGGTATAAACACTAAAGCCTCGCACTGGGTAAATACCACTGCCCCCCAAGGACACCTTTCCATGGGGGCTGCCAAAACAACCAGGTTGAAATGGCCCACGCCCCAGCACCCGCTACCCAGCAGCTATGTAAAGGCTGCTTAAGCACAAACACAAGATGAGCTATAGAGCAGCTGAGTGGAGATCACGGTGAAAACCATGCAAGCAAAACAGGCAAGTGTTATTGGCAGCATGGCGTCACTGTTCCAAGGAACACCAGAGTCCACTTTCAAACTAGGCTGAACAGGGAGAAGGTGTGGGATAAAAGGAGAGAGGGAGGAGAGGAGAGGAGGGGTGAGGTCTGTGCAGGACCCCCAGTGAGTACAGCTCACTGCAGAAAAGCCCTTCCATGAATGTAGCACCACCTGTTGCATGGTTGATTTCACTGGTAAACATTGTCGATAAAGTGGCACGGCTCTGGTTGGCATTACAGCAGCCCCACCTTTCCGTTTCACTGGAGACACACAAGCCTCAGTCACGCCCACTGCATGGTCTCAGAAAAACACCCAACAGTGCACAGGCTGCCTCCAGTGTAAGGTCAGAGCCCACACTAAAAGGAACGTCAAACCAGCAACACAAGAGACTTCAAGCGCATCAAGAAATGAAAGAAATCATACAGAGAACAAGTCAGCATCCCAGAGCCTGGCAGATATTTTATTCCATCATTTTTATTCACTCACTCTTGAAAATAGGGAAAATATATTTTAAAAGATCAAAGTCGTGGCTGTTAAACTTTGGAACAGGCCAACCTCCCAGTGATTTCATTTAATTTCATTTTAAACAGTATTTTTTGCAGCTGAAAAGTTTTATCAACTCCATCAGTTATAATATTATGAATTTTTGTGTAATATGAAACATTTATAACCCTATTATGACAATTTTTAATGACAAACTCATTAACATTCTAAGCATACTTTCAATCAATAACAGAAAAAATCCATCTGACTGAGCTGACAGCCAACTGACAGTGTTGACGTCACAAAACTGTACATTTTAAAAACTTAGAAGCACAAAGAACATCATTTCAAACATTCATACTATTTTTAGCTGTTTCAGAACTCATATCGAAACCTGTAAAATGAGACAGGGTTGACAAAATTGTTATATTTTTTAATTTCACAGCACAATCGTAACGAGTAGCCATTTTATTTTTAAAAGTTGTAAAGAGTTCTCTTAATGGTAGCCAACATATGCATATTAAAACCATAATTTTAATTAGTTTTATTTAAAAGGGCTATGGAGTCGACCTGTTATGGTTGAGACATACCTGATTCAATATTATTTCATGAACTTAGAAGAGAGCTTACCAGTGCTTGAGCAGTATTCTCTCATTTTTAAACCAGGAACTGAGGAAGTGGTCCTTAGGATACATTAAATTGTGTTTGTGTAGAAATCTGACGGAGCTGACAAAAATCAGGGACACGACTTTAAAGGAGCACCATTTTCATAAAAATACACATTTTTAAACTAAGATTATTACAATAGTGAAACGCTGCACACACATCAGTACGTATTGTTAGTTTTAGATTTTGAAGGCTTTTAACATTTAATTTTTTTAAGGTTGTGAATTCTTGTCTACGACAAGGGTGAATTCTGGTACAGGGAAAGTTTAGAATTTAAAAAAAGAAAGCTAAATAGGGCTGCACAATTCTGAAAAAAAAAATTGCCTTTTGTTGCTTGAATTGAGATCA